ATCTTACTTTACCATAATGACATCACCTCAATCAATCTTCCAAAAAGAACCAAAGAGATTCCAAGTACAATAATAAGAGCGTCAAAAGCAATCCTAGGAGTTCAAGAAGTACAAAGTGTTACAAAAATTCATTCTTTTGGACCAAAACTTAAAAAAACACTTAGAAACTCGTATAAAATCATGAATTGAAGGTTATTTCGCAAAATCAAGGTCCAAAAGTATGTCAATTCTTCAAAACCAAGTTGAACTTTATGTATATTAAGCATGCATGCAATGACTTGAAATCCTTGCTTTCAAAACTTGAGTAAATGAAGTAATAGGAGTGAAATCAAGTTAAATTCTCAAAATTATGCAAGTACAGGCCCATGCATGTACGTATGAGATGGAATTTCAAACTCAAACTTCATGAATTATGCATGTATGCATGGTTTGATTCAAAATGCTACATTCTTAGTTCATTTCAAGTGTATAATCTCTAAGTTCTCCTGAATTCACATGTAAATTAGCTTAATGTCATAAAATGTTGAACTCTTACCTAGAATACTCAATTCTCTTCACTTCTATGATTCCTCCAATTCCCTTCTTTTTCTCCTCTTTGATCTCAATCTCTTCCCCTCTCACGTTTTTGTTGTCTCAAGAAGATGAGTAGGAAGTGTGTACATGGTTTCTAGAAGTCACCTTAGCCTTATATAGGCTTAATTTGATTAAGCTTAGGTGTAATTAAGTAATCTAGCTCAAACTTAATTAATTTATTCTAATTATTTGGTTCCGAATCAATTTCTAATTAAACTTACTATAATATTTTAAAAATTCTAAACTATGCATTGACCTGGTCAATTTCGTGTTTGGATGCTGATAAGGCCTTCAATTTTTGTGTCGAAACAGAATTCTAGATAGATAATCCTACAATAGACAGATAAAAACATAAATAACACATGATGCATAACTAACTCATAATTTCATCTTAACTACTTATTAAGCATTCTTAATTAAGGATTATTAGCTAATTACGGATCGGGGTTGTCACAAGGGGTCTTCTGGCAAACCACCTGTCGGGTAGCTCACCTTTGTTCTGTTTACAATGAGTCGGAGTTCTTTCGGAGCAAGACGAGCTTGGTAGCAAGGTGTATGGAAGACGACAGATATTTCTCCCCTGTACAATATACAAACATAAATTGTATATAGAATTTTCAAATACAATAATATAATTTAATGGTGACCTTTTACTTTAAAACAACACACATAAACATGATTTATATTTATAAAAATACTACTATCACAATATTTTTATGATATTTTTTGTATAAATTTCTATATATGAATATAATATTTCATTACTATTTCCACCCTTATATCTAGATTAGATCATTTTAATCTGGATATATTTAAAAAGTATAAAATTTGTACAAAAAACTTTAAAAAAATTCCATTGAATACAACAAAATAACACAATGTATTGAATTTTTGTATTTTTTAAATTTCTTTTATTTGGTGAATTTTTAAAAAAATAATAAATTAATATGCTTCTTAAGTATATCTAGATTAGGTGTATCTAAAAAAATTTTAAAAAAAAATTGCTTGGAATATTAAAAAAAATTCAATAAAATAAAAATATACGAAAAATAAAAAAATAAAAAAATAAAAAAACTCAATTTTTTGTATAAGTTAAACCAAAAAAGATGATTGTTATTTCACTTGAAATGATATGAACAAATATCTACATTATTTTATCACGTATAAAGACTAAGGGACAAATATGCCATTTCAATATGATAGAATGTAAATGTAATTTTTTAAATATAAAAAAATAATCTATATTAAATAGAAACCCCACTATAATTTACCCATCAAAGATTAAGGCCAAGTTTGGAAAGATTAAATAAGTGCACTTTTTGACTTTTCTTGTATTATGTGTAGAAAAAGTAGAGAGGAGATGTTGATTGATGTGACCCAAAAAAGATAAAAAGATGAAATAAGTGCACTTTTTTAGTTTAGCCAAACTTGACCTAAGTTTGCACAATCTGTTGTACATTCTTCTTTCTTTTTTCTCTCAAAAAACATGTCGCCACATCTCAAGAAAGTTTCTACTCATTAACTATTTATAAACACAGGGATCACCATCACCTCCATCTGGCATATCTACCAAAAATATATCATTTCACCTTAAATGGAGCATCTTCATCAAATTTGAATTTGATAAAACACGGTGCTTTTTTCTGCTCTAATCATGACATTAAACTCATATTAAATAAAGGCGAGATTAGATTTTTTTATCAAATTAAAATAGCATTTAACTTTTTATCAAATTTCACATATGATTGTTGGTAGACGACTAGCCGATTAACTGGCTAGATGATCGGCTTGGGAAAGGTTTGTTGAAAATTTGCTCTAGGCCGGATGAATAGCTGGACGACCAGCTAGACGACCGGTCACATTTGATAAAATGATTAGAGTGCAATATATGAAATCAAACTTTTACTTAAAATTTTACTCAAATTTAATTTATAAAATTTGAATAAACATTGGAGATGCTGTTAATTATATAAATGCACTAAAAAAACACCAATAAAGCATCACAGCCTTATATTACATACGCACACATATATATTAAGCCTATTGGCTCCTCCTAAACCTAACAGCAAGCAACACACTTCTTCTTGCAGTCTATGGTGCAAGCGCCGCCGCCACCACCACCGTAGTTCTCGCCGGAATGGCTGTAGGAGGAGATGCACTTGGCTAGACACAGGGTCGGCCCCTAAGATTTAGAGGGGCGAGGCGAATTTTAGAAATGGGACCCCTCTTACATTGAAAAAAAAATTCATATATAAAATGATAAGTTATAACAATTTTTTTATTTGTTTGTAGACACAAAAAAATTTACGTACACATATAATCATTAAAATTATAAATAAAAATTTACTTTTATATATTAAGATAGGAAGTAATCATTAGAAATACTCAAAAAAATAAAAATCTGGCCTTGTTGCTTTATAGTTTAGTAATATCCAGTTTACAGTTGAATCATGATTAATTCAATCGGGCCAATAGTATTTGGGCATTTTTTTTTATATTTAAAACACAAAATTATTTTTGGGGCCCTTATTTTCAGCCTAAATTTGGGGCCCCAAGGCGCAGGTCTCTCTTGCATTACAACAAAAACATATTTTAGTGGCACTACATTAGTGACATATTTTTAGAAAATGTCACAAAAATAATATTTAGTGGTACGTTTTTGACAAATGTCACAAAACGACAAATACAAAAGACTTTAGTGACATTTCAATAAACAAGTCTCACAATACTACAATAAAAACACACTTTAGTGACAAAATACTAATGGCATGTTTTTTTAAAATATCACAAAAAGAATATTTGGTTACACGTTTTAGAAAAATGTTACAGAGCCACAAACATACAAGGTTCTAGTGGCATTTCAATAAAAAAGTGTCACATCACTACAATAAAAATGTAATTTAATAGCATCAATTTTATGGCATTTTATAAAAGAATAACAGAAGAAATTATTTTAATGACATTTATCAAAAGATGCTTCAGGAGATGAAACGTAATTTTCAAAATTACAGAGAACAATTCGTATTTTATCAAATTTCAAGGAGTGTATTTGTAATTTATCCTATTTATTTTTTGTCACTTTTTCATTAAGTGTAATTATATATATATATATATATATTTTAACCACATATTTTTAATTAAAATATGATTATATTTATTTTTTTATGTCTCTTACCCTCTGTTTGGTTGGAGGATTTGAAGAGGGATTTGAAAAGGGAAAGGGAAAAGTTAAGTGAAATGTGAATAAAATGTACCTACATTTCACCTAGTTTCACACACCTTTTCCTTTTCCCTTTCCAAATCCATCTCCAAATCCCCCAACCAAACACAGCATTAGTGTCATATTTTTTTTTAAAATCACAATTTAACTCTTCCGTTTCAATTCTTTTTGTCTCTCTTTCTGATTCATTAGCCTTAATTCAATTTTGCCATCTCTGAAACCACCGTCTCTCTACTGATCTCTCTAATTGCCTCCCTTTCTTTCTCTCTCTCTCTGAAAAGTACTTTCTCGCTTGCCTTTTCGCACGCACATGCACACCTTGGAAACAATGATGACAGACGGCAACAATCTAGGGAGAAGAAAAAACAAGAAAAGAGGATAAAGAGAGAACCATCTTGATCTTGTTCTTTACCCAATTTTTTTTCTTTTTTTTGGTCTACCTCTTTCTCCGTCCTCCATGGCTCCGACATATCATCGACGAGAATCGCCTGGACCACCGATTCATGACACCCAAAGGCTAACATAACACTATCATTGCGTCAAAGAGACCATCTTTCACATGAAACATCTCTACAAGCTTACCCCATTTCTGTCTCGTCGGACCATTGGATCACTACCATCACACCATTCCCATACAGGTAACGAAACTTCCATTTCCCTCTCTATTTTCTGAAATGGGTTTCTATAAGTGAAATGGTTGCGAAATGATTTGATTTCAGTTAAGAAATGGTGTGATTTCTTTGAAATGGGTTTCCTAGATAGTTTCTGTTTCTATTTTCTGAATCTGAAATGGGTTTATCAAATGATTTCCGTCTTTGATTTCGGATATTGGTCATTAGCACTCTGGCAAATTGTATTAGACATGAGAACTCTGTTTTTTGGACTTTGGTCCTCATGCTTTGTGAATACTTGTTGAAACAATAATTTGAGAGAGTGATAGAGGATTGAGAGAGAGAAATAGCCACTGAATTATTCAGTTATTGTGTGTATTATTAGGAGATTTACACTCTCTTTTATAGAGAGGAAAAGCTACATAGGGTGCCACCAATTTGCACCGAAAGAAGAAAGTAAATGGGAACATTCATTATGACTAACACTAACTATCATATTCTAATAGCACTGATATACACTAACCTTTATACAATAATAAACTAACACTATACAATAATAAACTAACACTAACATGATACAATAATAAACTAACACTTGTAATCTGAGTGCTCTCATGCCTAAAATTCTTCACTTAATCAATGTTAGGCATGATCTTGCTTCTTCACAAAAAGCATTCCTAATGATTTCTGTGACATAGTTGTGAAATGGGTCTCTTTCTATGAAATGAGTTCTATTGGTTTCTCTTAAATAGGTTTCTGGGGCTTCTAATACATTAAAAGGCAAGAAATAACGGAAATCAAGCAAAAATGAGGCTGCTTCTGTTTCTAACTTTAACTATCAACTAGTTAATGGGGGTTTCTCTAATTAACTTTAGTTCATAAATTTTATTATCAAGTAGTGGTTAATTTTTCCATTGTGATTTTGTGGGTGGTTTCCATTCCAATGTGATTCATGGCTCATCATCTTATTAATAAATGTGATTCATGTTTCTAATTTTCTTATAATTTTTTATGATTCATGTTTCTTATGTTTATAATTTTCTTATGATTTTGTGAGTGAAAGGGTGATTATTTGATTCATGGTGTTGGAAGGAATACTTGTGTTCAGGTAAGAAATGTTCTCCCTTAATTTCTTAAGCTTCTTCTTATATATTTCTTCTCTATAAATTTTATTTATTTTTGGGCGCATTATACGATGTTTGGGTGTATTTTTTTAATCTCTTTAAAACTGTGCTATGTAAATAGGTGATGCTTTTGGTGTTTGGAAGGACTATTTTTTATTTTAGGTAAGACACATCTTCTATTCATTTCCATGCTTATTCGTATTTTTATTGGTTTACACATTTTAAATGTTAAATAACTGTAAATCCTTCATTCACATTTGTTTCCCGTGGTTTTTAGTACTACTGTTGGAATTTTTGCTCTATCCCAAATTCCTTTTTATTTATATTAATAATTGTTTTAGTTTAGTTTGGATTTTATGAGCAGTATGTTAATTGGTGGTGTTTCGTTGGGTAGTGTTGGAAATCATTGTTTTTATGACAAAATTTATAGAGAACAAATCTTACCTGAAAGTAATTAATTGATTGTCAATTTTTATAATTATATTTGTTTATATTGTTGAGTTTAGAGGATCTTGATATTGATAATGGGTATGGTTTTGATTGTTGTTGATTGGCGCCTTTGGTTTTTATTGATTTTTTAAGCTATTGTTTGATATGGTCTAAAGACTTACGGTTGCTACTTTTATATAATTTGTTGTAGTGTAGTGAACCAATTAAGTGAGTAAATCATGTGGCTTGCTTATCTAATTGAGAAATGCATATCACTTTCAGTTGTGATCATTTTTACTCTGACACTTTGTACTAGTTTATTTTTTAAATATTATTTATTAATCGTAAATATATAATTACTCAAGTAGTTAAATCTTGATTTACAGGTAAGAAATATAGTTGTTCTAAAAAGTATCATTAGGTCAACAAAAATAGTTGCAATTGGAGTATTTAAAAGTACAGACCCATCTAAAGAAATAAAAGGGGAAGAACTAGGACCTGACTAATAGAAGGTACATGTTCAAGTGCCAGTCAAACCTAATAAGAGCTTCACTACAACAATTTACACTTTTGGCAACTAAACTTTTTTTAGTCGCCAAAAGTTGTAGCATAGGTGACTAAAAATTATATTAGTCGTTGTTGCATATGGTTTTTAGCTACTAATTTTTTTTAGTAGCTGTATCTTAATTATTGGCAACTAAAAAATAATTAGTCGCTAAATATGCTACAATGGGCAACTAATAATTGTTTTAGTCGGCATTAGACCATGTTTTAGGATACTAAAATTTTTGTTAGTCGTGGTATACCAGTTTTTGACTACTAAAATAAATTTAGTCGCCAAAAAGCTAGCATTATGTTTGCTATTAAACTTTGGCGACCAAAGTTTTGGTCGGCAAATATTAATTTTTGGTGACTGAAAAATCTTTAGTCGCTGTAAGGTAGTTTTTGCCTACTAAAATAATTTGGTCACTAAATAAAAAGTATAAATTTTACTTTTATTTTTGGTGATGAAAAATTTGGTCGGTGAATATTTCTTTTCGGTGACCAAAATACGTTTAGTCGCCAAAATAGTTACTTTTGGCAACTAAAATATTAGTCGCTGTTAGTTAATGTTTGGATACTAAATAAATTAGTCATTATAAATTAACCTTTGCTGACAAACAAGAAGTTTAGTCGCCAAAGGTATATAAAATTTTAGAGGAAAACATTAAAAGATTGGCGCGTAGTTTCTTCTCAGTAATTTCGAAAACAAGGTTCTTCTTTTCTCTCTCTCTCTCTCTCTCTCTCTCTCTCTCTCACACACACACACACACAGAACCAGTCACTACCAAACCTCACCTCACCACTCTGCAGTCGCTCACAGCCGTTGTTCACCGTAAGTCGTACATCGCCACCACCACCGCCGCAAATCACACCGCCACCACCACAATACAAACAGGTTCTCTCTCTGTCTCTCTCTCTCTCTGTCTCTCTCTCTCTCTCCCCCTTCCTTTATTTCCCCATTTCTCACTCTTACTCTAGGGTTTATATGATTTATTTAGTTTAATTTCCTGTTTAGCTTGTTTTTGGTTTAATTTCTTCAAATTGTAGTAAATTTGGAGTTGCATTGGTAGATTGTCTAGCTAATTTTGCAGTTCGCTTTGTTTTTGTTGGGGGAAAAATTTGGGTTCAACGAGGCATTTGAGTTTATCAAGGAAAAATTTGGGGTCCTTGCGATTTAGGAGTTGGCTCTCTCTTTGATCACTAGCGTTGTGGCCGTAACATCGTTATCATCACCATCTCTCATTTCTCTCTCGCTGGTTAGAAGTAAGAACCCTTTTTCTCTGTATCTTAATCTCTATGTATCCATATACCTACCTGTTACAGAAACAACATTTCCATGAATGGGGTTGAGGCTAGGTACATCTTACCCTCTTCTCTATTGGGATTATTATTATTATTTAGGAACAAAATTCAATTTTTGAGGAGTGTGTAACCTGAAGAAGTAATTGTGATTTAAAACACAAGGACCTTTGTTTTAAAATGTCACTAACGAAATTGCTTTACTTGATGCTATGATATATTATGTATGTATATAGTAGCAATTAGATTCTTTTACATTTACCTTTCAATCTCAGGTATTTCTTGTATATCTAAGGTATGAATGGCATCATACAAAAATTGTGACACTTCCTATTAGAGAAGAGGGTAAAACTCATTTGAACCTTCTCACTCTTAAATATATTCATAGCCATTACAGGGATAGGTTTGGAAATTGTAAAATTTTATGGTTTGATTTTTCAAAGAGCACTACATTTTGGGACATCCTAAATTTGAAAGGACTTAAAATGTGGAACAGAGGGATTTATCAAAATAAATAAATAAATAAATAAAAATTTGTGGGACAGAGGGAGTATATGTCTGGACCTTATGTTCTCACTATTTTAATTTTCAGTTAGCTTACTATCGACAGTTTTAACTATGAATTGTAATATTTGGCTACAACAAGTGCATCTTTTCTTCAGCTCACTAACAGTTTTAACTGTCAATTATAGTTTGAGGCTAGAGCTAGTGTGTCTTTTCTTCAGCCTAAAGCCAGACGACCGGTCGTGGATTTTATTGTTACAACTTAAGGTATACAATGTTATACCCTGATTATTTGTTGCTTTCCTAAACATATTTATGCTTATATAGATGTACCTTATGCACAAGGCTCCTGCTTACAACATAATCTAGGAGGGGTAATTAACATATAAAGATAAATAATGTTGATTTGGAATGAGCGACTGATCTTATGCTTCTAAACTGCCGATCATGTTTCTTGAACGGTGCCAAAACTTCCATTTTGTTGTGACAGTCTTCTGAAGTGTTGATTTATGTCCCTTCCACCTTTTTTGACCAAAAAATTGGTAAATTGATGGATTATCTGATTTTGTTGAGGATTGTACCCATTCTTAGTTTTACCAAAATTATAATAAATAAATAAATAAATAAACTTTTTTATAGGTTTGTATATGTGCCATTTGTGGAAGCATCAAAATTTTTTTTTTTCCTAGCAACATTCCAATTAGTTCTATCCATCTAAACATCTAGTCTGGGATTTTGAGAGAATGGAGTCATGTAGTCAGCAACTTGATGTGGTAAAAGTCCTTATAATTGTTGGAGTTTCTTATATGGCTTTATGCTTCTGGAAGTAGCAAGTATGTGTACTCGTCACTTACATCATTTCCTTCATTGACCTAAGTAGTTTTTTTTTTTTTGTTGGAGAAGTTCATTGTCTTAGGTAGCTTATGAAGCTAGTATATACATATCCTCTTTTAGAATATTTCAAAAACTGAATCTAGGTTCTTGTTGGAACCAAGTGCTTTGTTATTGTCTGGTATTGTGAGCTGTTAGTATTTTAATTGCTATAATTTTACATCTTGTCACACCCCTTCCTCTTCCAATGGGTGAGCCTTAGATTGTGATAGAGGGACTAAGGATGCAATCTAAAAGTTGTGGAGAATGGAGATTACAGATTGGGTCAACATTTTTTAAGTTGAAGTTTTGATACCTCTATTTGCATTTGGTTCCCCAAATATTATACCAATTAAGATGTCTATGTCAAAGTGGAGTCATGTGGCCTGTCAAAGTGTAGATATCTGTGATTTGTGGCGCTGAACTGCTGATTGCTTATTACTTCAATCCTATTTCATGGATTTTTTTTCTTCTTCTGATAATTAAATAAAGTTGAAAGGGGTGAAACCTCTTTCCACTGTAGGGGTGAATTCTCTTTACACTGTGGGAGCAAAACTAACACTACTAAGAAATTACACTTTTGGCTATTAAAAATGCCGACTAAAAAAAATTTGGTCCACTTGGAAGGCAAGGAATGAGTATGTTTTTAATGACCATCCACCAAATTTTGCAAAATTGAGGAGCTTGTTAAGGTTAGGGTGGCTATGTGGGCCAAATCAAATTTGAAAGGTGTTCATTTTTCAATCCATGATTTTGTCTCACACTGTCTGATTTTGCTTGTAATTTGATTGTGTTGGTGCAGCCCTGTTGGTGCTGCAGTAGATTTTTTTTTGCTTTTGTTTGTTTGTTGCTCTGTTGCCCTGTTTGTTTGGAGATGCTGCTGTGTTGCTCTGTTTGTTTGTTGCTGTGTTGCTCGGATTGATTCCATTATACTAAAAATAGAACTTGGACTGGTAGGCATATGGCCCAACTATCTTCTTAAAACCACTGTTTGGGGCTTTTAAAAACTGGACCATTTCCCTGATCAACCGTTCACTCCAGCATGGGCAATTTCCCATTCCCCGTGCAAGCGAGCTTTCTATTGCCCAACCCAGATTTGGCCCTGGAACTATCCCCAACTGTTATGTTATGTGGCCTGGACTGAGCTAGCTTATTATTTTTCAACACTTTCTGGCGTTGCTGAATCTTAAAGGATCCATGCTGATTACTTTTCTTCCCACATGTTCCGAGTTTAGAGGATGTTTTTGTAGAGCCTTTAACCTTTGTTGGGATCATGTGATGCAAATTTAGCCCTATGTGTGATCCCTACGGGAACCTAGGTGTCAATACCATGAGTTTTCTTTTTTTCTTTTTTCCTTTTTTTTCTTGTTCTTGCTCTTCTCAATTTTCTGTTCCTTTGATACTTTATAACCCTACTTGAACCTTATCTGGTCCCTCATTCTTTTCCTTCCCTTTTGATTATGTTCCACATTCTTGCTTCAACCATTTAGGCATAGCTCATAAATGTAATTCAAATCAGGCTCTTTACTGCTTACAGCCCTAAATCAGTCCCAGAATTGTCTATCTTTTTCCAAAATTAAACCCTGAAAACCTTGGCCTTTTGTTACAATTTTTAACCTTGCTTTTGCTACATTTTGAACTCTCTTCTCTATAATTAAACTTTTTTTATTCTTGGTATACCAATTGACAGTTACCTTTTTGTGAATTTATATACATCACATCAACTTTCTTTGACATTTTGCCTTCTGCAGTGAAACTTAAATTGCCTTGCATAGCTAGCAGCGTTTCAGGCATCTAGTAGAGGCAGCAGATGCCGTCTGTTTATTTGATTGGTGTTTGGAAATCTTACCCTTCATGCATGTAGCAAAGTTCACCTATATAACTTGAGAATAAAATGTGTGTTCCTGAACAAGATAGTGCTGTGAGCTATAATTTGAAACCTGCCCTTTGGCCGGTACCATTCAATGGATATGTCTAATTTTAATTAGTACTAAGCATAGGCATCAGATATACAGGAGTTTCTCACTTTTTCTAATCTACTCTTTTCTTCTTTTCTGTGTCCAAAACGAAAAAATTACAGAGTTTAGTCCCGTTGGATGGGATCTAGGAGGGATAGATTGGGTGTAGACCCCTAGAGTGAAGGAAAATAGGGTGGCTATGCTAATCAATGTGGAACAATTTCTGATGGAAAAATTGCATCAACCAATCTTTTGTAGCTGCATAACCTTGTGAATTCCAGATGGAGTTAATGATCAACACTGTCATGTATGATGGATGCTTGCTAGTAGCAAGTGTCTATAGTTGGTGATCAATACTGTCATTTAAGATTTGAGCTTGGTCTAGTGTAATGTTTATTCTTCAGGCGTTACACTTTTTGTGTAATGCAGCTTTGGCAGTCATCAGTTTTGGTTGTGCTTTCTGTCAATATGATTAAGTCCAGGCTTTTGAGACAATTTCTCTTTTATGTCCGTCTGATGCATTACATCCAAATCTACTTTTAATTTTGAAATGCGTGATGAATTGATACTTTTCTTTCCTGGAGAGTTGATTTTGTTTGTCAATAGCTTGTCAATGAGATTCTCCCTTTCCCTCGCTCTAAAGGACCTGCTTGATTTTTCTCTTTCTATTTTTCTTCTTTTTTTTATTAAGTACTTGTGGATTTGTCTCTTCATTATTCTAGTGCGTCTTCATCCTTAAAGTGTACTCTTTTTTTTTTCTTCATATAGTGTCTCAGGGCAGCCACTTTGTGCACTATGCCACACATTAATGTGTACTATTTGGGCGTTGTTTTTTTTAGTGTTCTATTTATTGTTGAATTTTAGGAGGCTCATAAATTACTCTAGCCAGCAGACAAAACTTTAAAGACCATTGTTGCTGAACTTGCAGAGTACTGTATTTGGTCTACAGGATGTAGTGATCTTAGGTAGGATTGTATCTGTCAGAAGCAGCTTTTAAAAGAATTGAAGTCTTGCAGTAATTAAATGGGGAGTTCACTCTTCATTGCTGGAGACTAGTATTTTGTTGCGCTGTTGGATTATATTTCAGTATTTAAAAGTTTTACACCATTCAAAATTCATTTTAAGGTTTCTCTGGGACTTAATAAGCTACATCATGGCAGCAGAAATGTTTTCATTGTGGTTTGACAACGACATTGAGAATATGTATTATTGCGCTCTTAAATTGAAGTTAGGTAATGGATAATGTAAGTTTTCTTACATTTTGATTTCTCTGCTACATACCTTTTATTGGCAATTTTGTCCCTGTTTGGTAGTGCTTTTCACTTGGCATGTGAAGCTATTTGTTCATTATCTTGTTCATTCTCTTTTATAAGATCTTTTGATCCCCTGCTGTTTATGGTAGATGTGTTGAGAGAATTGATGAATCTGACAATATGTGTTGAGAGAATTGATGAAGGAAGGACGGATATCTCTTCTGCGGATAAAGTATGCTTATCTAATATATATATACGTTCATTTGCTTCATTGTCTTTTGGTGTATACTAGTTACATTTTTCTGCTTTTTTTGGCTTTTGGTGTATACTGGTTACATTTTTCTGGCTTTTTTTTTGGGTATAAAACTAATTATATAATTAGTATTTTTATACATGTCTGGTGTGGCAGTATTTTTATTGAGAACCGCTTGAGTTGGTCCCATCAGCCCTTAATAAAAAACTTTTACATTTGTCAATTTTAGGCTAGAAAATATGACAGCTTTTGATTAGGAACTACTGCTTGAAAGAGTCCCCATGAACTCTTGGACCAGATAAGCTACCAGAAGACACACTCACTTTCTTGAATGTGTTTGATAGGTTCATGTTGTCTGCAAGGAAGGATGGGGTGTTCATGGTGCAAGCTGCTAGCAACAAGGGTTCGAGCCCTTACACGATAGTGTCTTATAGCCCTTGGGCCATGGGTGTGGCTACTTGAACCACAGACAAAACTTGCACTATCAAAAGCTTGGTGGGGTGGGATTATCGGGTAAAACTCTTGCTTTTGCTTTGGATCCTGACTTCCAAAGCTAGTTCATAATCAATTATCATTTTTATTTTTATTTTTTTCTATAAACACGTAATAAAACACAAAATATACATGAATGGATAAGTTTTTGAAAAAAAAAATTTTTGTTAGCTGAACCCACTTTTGAAAAAAAATTATCCATCCATGTATGTTATGGTCATGTTTGATATTGGGATATATAGAGGGGAAGATACTTTTTACACTGGATATAGGGGATAAAGAAAAACATATGGGTCTCACATTTTTTATATCATTTTTTTGGTTGTCCAATAAGAAATCAGATGATGTATTATATCCTCCAAAAGTAAATGATACGTAATACTAACTCCCTATGATATTACTGATCCACTACCAAAGGATGGATAATCATCTTTCTAAAAAATAATCACTTTTTATTTTTTATTTTTTATTTTTTATCTTATACTATATCTTACTAACCAAATATAATAAAATTGAATTAGGGTGTTGTGTGTCTTTGTACTATTTGAGATGACCGAGTGGTTTTCTCAAACTGTTAAAATGATTGTTGTCTATTTTCACTGCATACAGCATTCCAATGAATGGTCTCATCCTCATGATATTTATTTCTATAATCAATTTGTTGGTTACATCAATGACTATATATTCTTATCAATACAATTGACTCCACCGCGTGGCTCTCACGGATAGCTTTTGACAAATAGGACTTGTGACAACTGACATAATGTAATTAGGATGCGTAGGTTTGGAATTAGACCCGAAAATGCTTTAAACTTAGTCGAAAAAAAGCATTTTGGGGTCAAATATTCAAAACAGCCCCCCAACCACCGTGTGGCTCTCACGGATAGCTTCTCCTTGACAAATAGGACTTGCGACAATTGACGAAATGTAATTAGGATGCGTAGGTTGCGAGTTAGACCCGAAAACGTCTTAAACTTAGTCCAAAAAGGGCATTCCAGAGGTGAAAATTCAAAACAGTCCTCGAACCACCATGTGGCCCTCACGGACAGCTTCCCCTTGACAAATAGGCTTTGTGACAACTGACGGAATGTAATTAGGACGCGTAGGCTAGGAGTTAGCCCCGAAAATGCATTAAACTTAGTCGAAAAAGAGCATTCCGGGGTTGAAAATTCAAAACAGTCCCTGAACCACCATGTGGCTGTCACGGACTGCTTCCCATTGACAAATAAGACTTGTGACAACTGACGGAATGTAATTAGGACACGTAGGTTGCGAGTTAAACCTGAAAACACTTTAAACTTAATCGAAAAATAGCATTTCGGGGTTGAAAATTCAAAACAGCTCCACAACCACCGTGTGGCTATCACAAACAGCTTCTCCTTGACAAATAAGACTTGTGAGAACTGACGGAATGTAATTAGGATGCAGAGGTTGCAAGTTAGAACCGAAAACGTCTTAAACTTAGTCAAAAAAGGGCATTTTGAGGGCAAAAATTCGAAACAACCCCCGAACTACCGTGTGGCTCTCATGGACAGCTTCCCCTTGACAAATAGGGCTTTTGACAACTAATGGAATGTAATTAGGCGCATAGGTTGCGAGTTAGACCCGAAAACGTCTTAAACTTAGTCCAAAAAGGGCATTCCAGAGGTGAAAATTCAAAACAGTCCTCGAACCACCATGTGGCCCTCACGGACAGCTTCCCCTTGACAAATAGGCTTTGTGACAACTGACGGAATGTAATTAGGACGCGTAGGCTAGGAGTTAGCCCCGAAAATGCATTAAACTTAGTCGAAAAAGAGCATTCCGGGGTTGAAAATTCAAAACAGTCCCTGAACCACCATGTGGCTGTCAAAGGAAGCATAAAGACATGGGAAGGCTTGGCCGAGATGTTTGTGGCCAGGTTCGTGACCAACAAGTTGCAACCCCTGAGGGTTGATGCTTTGATGGCTCTAAGAATCACCAAGGAAGAAGGCCTTAGGGCCTATGCGAAGAGGTACTACGAGGTGTTCAACCGAATACCCGAATGCAACCAAGAGGTAGCGGTCGTGTCTTTCAAGAACGGCCTGAAAGATGACTGCCCACTACGGAAGTCTTTGGCAAAAACATTGCCAAAAAGCATGGAGGAACTCATGGCAAGAATTGAGAAGTACGCCAGAGCCGAAGAAGATACATCGGGAAACAAAGATGTAAAGCAAGAAAAGGCAGACGGCTCGCCGAAGCAAGGCCGAGGCAACAATGCCGACCAAACAAGAAACAGAGTTGAGAAGTAAACAGGCAGTAACGACGGTATTCCGAATCCCAATCCATAAAGTCCTAGATCAAATTCGAAACCAACCTTATTTCAGGGCTCCGGCAAGAGCACCAGGGGAATTCATGGGAAGGAACGTTGGTAGACATTGTGCCTACCACAATGAAGAAGGACACCCAACTCAAGGTTGCAGAGCCTTGAAAGCACACTTGGAGGACCTAGTGAGACAAGGCCTTCTGAGGGACCTGGTCGATGAAGCCAGGACAAGGGAAGAACAGGCAAGGTTGCCTCAAGCACCAGCAGCGCCGCCTCCCCCAGCACAGCCACCACAAGCAGGAGGACCGAGGGTGGTTAATGTGATCCATTCAAGGGTCAACGAAAACGAAGTCAGAGGGGAGACCCAGAAGGTAAGAGATTTACAGCATGTCTACCAAGTCGGGGAGAAGAGACATCGGCCAGAAGAATGCCAAGGGCCAATGATAGCCTTTACTGAAGCCGACCTGGAATTGGTCCAACATCCGCATAATGATGCCTTGGTAGTATCCCTCCAGGTTGGGGAGTGCCAAGTGAAACGCATCCTAATAGTTCAAGGCAGCTCCTGTGACATCATGTATGTCAGATGTTACGAGGAGCTGGGCCTTCACCCTGATAACTTAGAACAATCCAGCGGCCCGATGGTCGGCTTTAATGGAACGCCGACATGGCCACTAGGCGCAACAAGCTTGGAAGTACAAGCCGGCACTAAGAAGATCCAGACGGAATTTCTGGTAATTGACACGCCCTCACCATACAACATCATCTTGGGAAGGCCGTGGTTGCATGCAATGGGGGCAGTTCCCTCAACGTTGCATCAACTACTACGGTTCCCAACAGAGCATGGGATTGAAGAAGTCAGAGGAAATCAACTACAAGCAAAAAATTGCTCCATGACAGCAATGAAGTCCACCTGTAGTATAAGGGAACCAAGGAAAGCAGAAGTTGAAGATGAGGACATGAAGGTCCTAGAAGACGTCGGGAAAGAACCAGCCGAAAAGAGCGAAGAGGAGCTACAAAAAATTTTCATCCAAGAGGACGACGAAGAACGCTTCTTTCTTCTCGGCTCAGGTTTAGCTAGGGAAGAAGAAAGAGAGCTAGAAGATTTTTTAAGGGCAAACATAGAGGTGTTCGCCCGGACACCTTATGAAATGCCAGGCATTGACCCCGAGGTCACTTGCCACAGACTGAATGTCGACAGATCAGCAAAACCTGTGATTCAACGAGCCAGAAGACCGACGTTGATGCACGTCGAAGCAGTAGAAGAAGAGGTAGACAGACTCCTGGAGGCCAGGGCCATCCGAGAAGTTCAGTACCCAACATGGCTGTCCAACACAGTAGTAGTAAAAAAGAAGAATGGCAAATGGAGGGTTTGTGTAGACTTTACCAGCCTCAACAAAGCTTGCCCTAAAGACAGCTTTCCTCTGCCCAAACGCCACTTCAGGACATGAAAGGATGAGTTTTTTGGATGCATACAGAGGGTACCACCAGATTGCCATGTACCCTCCAGACGAGGAGAAGACCGCGTTCATCACCCCTAAAGGCCTGTACTGTTACAAGGTAATGCCCTTTGGGTTGAAAAACGCAAGAGCAACCTATCAGAGGTTAGTGACAAAGATGTTTAAGCACCTGATTGGCAAAACAGTAGAAGTCTACATCGACGACATGGTCGTAAAGACCAAGGAATCAAAGGGTCATCTTGCCAACCTAAAAGAGGTCTTTGACATACTCAAAAGATATCGGCTCCGACTCAACGCCTCGAAGTGCGCCTTTGGAGTTGGATCAGGTAAATTTTTAGGATATCTGGTAACAAGAAAGGGCATTGAGGCCAGCCCAGACCAAATCAAGGCCATCCTGGACTTACAGAGCCCGACATCGGCAAAGCAAGTTCAAGTGCTTACTGGAAGGGCCGCAGCCCTAAACAGATTCATCAGTAGAAGCTCAGATAAGTGCAGACCCTTCTTCAAACTGGTGAAAAAAGCCACAGACTTCCTATGGACAGAAGAATGTGAAGCCGCCTTAACCGACCTAAAAAAGTACTTGACCACGACTTTGGTTCTTTCCAACCCAGTACCAGGGGAGGAACTGTTTTTGTACTTAGCAGTCTCAGAACACGCAATCAGTGCAGTGCTAATCCGAAAGGAAGAAGGGGAGCAAAAGGCAGTTTATTATGTAAGTAAAACTTTGGCCGACGCAGAAACAAGATACCTACCACTGGAAAAATTAATGCTGGCCTCCATAAAGTCCTAGATCAAATTTGAAACCAACCTTATTTCAGGGCTCCGGCAAGAGCACCAGGGGAATTCATGGGAAGGAATGTTGACAGGCGTTGCGCCTACCACAATGAAGAAGGGCACCCAACTCAAGGTTGCAGAGCCTTGAAAGCACACTTGGAGGACCTGGTAAGACAAGGCCTTCTGAGGGACCTGGTTGATGAAGCCAGGACAAGGGAAGAACAGGCAAGGTTGCCTCAAGCACCAGCAGCACCGCCTCCCCCAGCACAACTACCACAAGCAGGAGGACCGAGGGTAG